ATACATTTTCTACATTCATGAATTCATACATTTTAAGAGCAGAAGGAACCATTACGTTCATCCAGCCTGAGGCATTGATAGATTTACTGCACAGGAGCTAATGGACCAGAGCACAGTCCCTTTGAGATGACAGGAGAGAATTTGTGCAGCTTTTTAGCCTCTCTCCTCATCACCATCATGAGGGCAACCACGTCAGAGCTCTCTTGTCTAACACAGACCCTGCCTCTAGTCCAGCTTGAGAGAACATTTATTTAAACACAACATTTTAGAAAAAAACAGACTGATTTCCCAAGTACCAGAGAAAGCAAAAGTCAGCCCATCCCCACAACCCCAGAGCACCTCTGTCACCTCTCCTTGACCCTCTTTGGTCTCCCAGCAGCACCAGACACCCCAAAACAACAGTAGCTGCTGTTCCTGTGCTCAGACTTTGTTCTCTACTTGCGCAGTTCTCTCATTGGGGTGTGAAGCGCTTTGCCCCTGGGGACTCAGCGTATTGCCTCATAAAGCAGGATGGCAGGATTATTAATGTGGCAGAACTGCAGGATTTTCCAAGCAATTTATGAGTTACCATGGCAGTTCATTAGCTCTCAACCCAATGAGCCCTTTCTGGCGAGCATGAATCACGCAGGAGGCACGCACACATGTAAACGTATCACAGATATTCACATCAAAAACACATCTACGGCCATTTTCCCTCCATTTTGCCCAGCATATGTCTAACAATAGCACTAAAAAGTCACCAGTTAGCAGGACCCATATCCAACCCACCGAAACACAAAGAAATTCACAATCCCCATCCTTTTCTTTTACTCTCGTGAAGCCATTTCTGACCAGTGTCTGTATTCAAAGAACAGCAGGTCCTTACCAGAGGGTTTACATTTGCAGCCTTCATGGACTGCATGAGGAGGCAGGTCTGGCAGTGGGGATAGTAGGCACTCTGAACTGCTCTCCTGATTTTCAGTGCTAAAAATAAGGTTTCACTTTACACAGAGGCAAGCCCCTCATCCCCACTCAAGGAAAGATTTGAGAAAATATTTAACTTTCATGGTAATTATCCATAGGTCTTAAAATAAAGCACTTCAATGCTTCCTTGAGTCCAAGTGGCACTATATGTGTAAGAAAGTTCTATAGGTTTTAATGCAGTGCTGAGTTACGACTTCAGCATACGCCAAAAAACAAGTCTAGCAAACTAGAGCGGAAAGAGAGATAGAGAATTAAAGGGATCCTTTGAAGTTAATAAGTGGACAATTGAGAAAAAGGAAAAGGTCAAGAGCACAGTAACTCTTATCAGTAAGTTCAAAACCATTAGCAAGTTACTCTCAGATAGTACAAATACAATGCTTTAATACCAAAGAAAGACAGAGAGACAGGAAGATGGTTGGTGGAAGAGAAAGAAAGAAAAGCAAGAAAAGCAAGCAAGCAAGCAAGAAAGAAAGAAAAAGGAAATCTATTTAGTCTTTATTGCACTATTTTTCTCAGTTGTACTAATACTTTTTTTTATTTTCTTTTACCCTCTAATATTTTCAAAGTATTTTAAAGAAAAGGCAGAGCTTAAATTTTTATATTTGCCTCTAGTTACAGCTGCTACACTCAGAGATCAACCTCACAATGCCTTATGTACTTCCCAGAATTAACTTGCCTTTTCCCTTTGAAAAAATAATTAATGTTATTTATTAGTGCAGTAATGGAACCCACATACTGGAAAATCCCACCTTCCACACCATCCCATTAGCTAAATCTGGCTTTGGGCCAAAATTTTGTATTTCAGCTCCTGCCAAGGTTAAAGTTTGGAATGTTTTCGTTGTTGGAAGATTTTTCGTCTTTTTCCTTGGCTGGGCTGATGGGACCCTGCTGCACATGGGAGATCACTGTCACACCAGGCTGCCAGTTACTTGTTTGTTTCAGTCACACCAGTCACACACGGTAACTGGTGGCATTTCCCTCTCAGCTGAGCGATGCCAACAGGCGTTGAGCCCAAGATGCGAAGGGATATAATAATGATGTGGAGAACTGCTGGCTTGAGACATTCCCACTGGCTGGAGTAATTACAACAAATATTTTAAAAATTATGCAGCTGGGCAACAAGTTAGATGACACCTTTATTTAAGACCAGATTCATCAACAAAACTGTGTGTGTCTGTCAGGCATTCTCATGTCCAATAAAACATGGAGGCTAGAGGAATAAACCTCCAAAGAAATATCGATGTAGCTAAGAGAAAGAAAAACTTTTGCCTCATTTACCCCTTGAAGGTCTGGAATAGAGCTCAGCTTGTGCTGTCAAGTTAGAGGAGAACAGTCTGGACTTGCTGACCTGAGAGACCCTTGCAGATGTTCTCCTGCCAGGACTGGGAGATAAGTCACCTCACCAGCTCTTCCCTAAGCTGCCCACATGGCCAACACCAGCATTAATCCTCTCACAGGGTCCATCTCAGCAAAAGGGCTATGATATCTGCTAACAACACAAGTTTTCAGTTAATATTATTTTTTGTCACCTCATAAGTTACTCCCTCAGCAGATTTTTTTTCATGAGTTGCTATTGGAAGAAGACATATTAGTCTTTTTCCAGACCTCCCCATGCTTTAGCAACAAGAGCAGAGTCCAGCTGCCCTGTTCCCATACGTACTATAGTTTCTCACATGGGAAATGTCTGTATGAAGGCTGTCCCACCCACACTGCCATGTCCCTCACTGTGCTTGCTCTCACCATCTCTTCTGAAGCAGCGCAGTGGGTCAGTAACACTGGACAAGGTCACGTCACGGTTTTTCTCATAGGTAAGACCAGTGACATGCTCCAAACTGCTGAACAATGGCAGGACACTTCTGCCACAGTCTGGCAGACAGGCAGTGACAGAGAGGAGCAGACTGACTGCACTGCCTGATCTCAGGGAGTGATGAGGTCACCTACTCGAAGCAGCAACAAGAAGTGTTAAAGCGATGCTCAGAAAAATCCATTTTTACACCCATCACATTTCCCAAGATATGCCAGGGTCATGCTGCATTTTTCACTGCTCTCCAAGCAACAGCACCAAAGCCCCATCCTTCATCCCAGGGGCTAGATGTTTCAAACTGCAAGTGGTGAGGAACAGGGATATGTATCTAGACACAGGCTACAGCCTGTCCCTTTTCACTCCCACAGTAGGAGAGCACCATACCAGGAGCAATAATGTGTGAAGCTTTATGGAAACCTGAAACAAAGAGATATCAAACAGGAGGTTTTCTACACTGCTATCATGCTCTAAACCATAAGAATATCAAACTGCTTTGTTTTATCATTTCTTCTAAAAGAATGCCAGCACTTAGTTCTGTCTGACACGAGCACATGGGACTGGAATTTGATTTCTTGTTTATTTGGTTTTCACATTTTGAAGGATTTTGCTGTTTGAGGTGAGAAATATGTGTCTGTTGATCACAAAATCCAGCTCAGAGACATGTCTGAGATCATGGTTTTGAAAAGGAGCCATGGCCACCTTCAAAGGATGAGGCAGATTTCACCCACAGAAAAGCAAAACATGCCACTTTGTGCTCTCAAGCGTGACTCATTTCCTGATGCAGTTAGACTAGGACTAGGAAAGCTAAGGTCAGATTAAGAGATCATCAATGTCTTTTGTAGTGGACTTTGAGACCAGGACCACAAAGTCAGAATAAGGCTGTTGAGGCCTTTGAAGAAAAAATCCTCTTGGAAATACATCATGGGGCTCTGTTTGTTTTCCCTGGATTCTTGAGGGATGGAGCTCCTGTTTTGCTGCATTGCCTTCATTTCTGTCAAATCCCCGTGAGGATAAATTTCTCTTCAGTCTCTTTATGAGGAAATCGATATAAAAACCTCACCTTCCTACCTAGAAAACTCACAGGGCTTTGCATGGATAGCCCTGCTACTTCTTGCTACATCATTTCAAACAAAAACCCAATCTTCCTGCCTCTCCTGCCAAACGACAACAACAGCCAGATGAACTCAAAGCCTCATAGCTTCTGCACTGAAGCCTCTGCTCTTCAAGGTTCTGGACATCCACCGTGCTGCAGCCACTGCACAAAATGCTATGGCAAATCTATCTCCAGTGGTATCAGACCCAGCATCCTGCAGTGACACACAGGGAGTGACCCACAGAGCTGTTGTCTGAAGGACATAAAATTCCTCCTCTACCACAGTCTCTGCCTTCTGTCACCACATTCGAAGTAGCACTAGAATTTCTTTTTCCAAGTGGATGCAGAAAGGAACAGAGAGAGAGAAACTGAGCTGATCCTAGCAACGACTATATGAGCAAAACCCTGAAGAAAATATTTTCAAATATGTCAGATACAAATGACCAAAATATCATCACACAGTAAGAAAAGAGATCTGATGTTGGTTTTATACCACAGGGCTCAGACAGGAACAGTTTATCATATGTTGCAAATCAAGATGACTAGTCAGGTAGGAGCATAGTGTCTGCTCAACACTATGACTTAAATTCCCAACTTGGAGCTCCAGCTGTTTATTTATTTACTTTTTTTTTTAATAACGGTATTTTATTGGGAAAAAATGTTGCAATTTTCACTTGAAGATTTTGGGAGTGACTTTATACTAACACAGTGGATGAGTATGGATTGGTAATTGTCTGATTCTGCAGTACAAAATGTAATACAGAACAAAATAATAAGGATCCTACTGATAACCATGACTTTGCTGCAGAGAGCCAACATTCAGGGTGTAAATATCCACTGAGTGGATTGATTCCACCACCAGATTTTCCTGCCTTGAAGACACATCTGAATGTGTTCATAAAATATCATTTCCATCTTTTTTGCTTTTTCTATCAAGCCAATGAGCACAAAAAGTGACAGAATTAAACCACTCCAGTGATCCACAGAACTTTCCCCTGTTGACTAAACAAGAATCACCATGAGCCAACTGGAAGATCAACGACTTTTGGTGTATGATAATGTCTTGTTGTTCTCCACATAGCACCGTTCATCAAACATACAGTCCCTTGAGAGTTAAAGTAAGAGAATTTCGTGACATACCACAGGTGTAGATGACATTAAGATGCTTTTGGATGCCTGGATAACAAGGATCTCCAAATTCATAGGTGCTGGCATATATGCTGCAGCTTCTTTTCCCATGACAGCGCTTGATCATGAGCTGGAGAGCAGTAGCTGACTGACACTCTAAAAGGGAAAAACAATACCTCTTTGTTAATATTTGTCCATTCACAACAGAAAATGCCTAGAAATAAGTTACCAGATGCAGACTGTGAGAGGACATACATATGAGATTTCCATATTTAAAAGTGTTTGGGCTTGCATGGGAAGGTGTATCTGACTCTAACACACCTGTAATAAATTGTAAATTGATGAAAAGAAATTACCAAAAAGAACACTGAAGAATCAGAAACTCTTTCTGTAGAAAGAAGGCTGCAAATAAAAGATGGCCTGTTTTCACAGGGAAAAGGCTATCTGTAATAAAAATAATTACTTCTCACCATTCTATAAAGGTCTGAAAGGACTCTAAGGCAGGTATCACTATCTTCATTTTAATAAATGGAGAGAAACAGCTTCACAGAAAAGAAAAAGACTAAGAAGAGCAAATCAGTGCAGAGCATGGGGAAAGGTCTCAGAGTTTTGGAGTCTTACTACAATGTATTTATCCAAAAACACTGCAAGCTTCCCCATGAACTAAGAGACTGTCACAGCAACAGAATATATGTTAGTATTTTAGTAAGCTAATATAGTTATAATATCCCTTTGGAATTCATGTAGATTAATTTAGCTGTCTGATAATGCCATGGATCATAGTAACAGGAAAAGTTATTAACAAATACCCATCTCACACATGTAAGGGAGTTGGACATTGAGGTCTTGTCAGGGAAGGGTAAAATTCTGATTTGATTTAGGTGTGTTGGTTTTATCCAGGTTTTCTTGTGTGGTGGGTGGATCCTGGCTAGACACCAGGTGCTCCCCAGCCAGAGCCCACCCACCACACAAGCAAAACCCCTCACTCCTGATTTTCTCTGCCTCCTTTCCTCCTGCAGCACAGGGGAACAGGGAATGGGGGCTGCATTCAGTTGTCTCAGCCACTCCTTTCTCTTTGTGGGGAGGACTCCTCGCACTCTTCCCCTGCTCCAGCGTGGGAACAGGCTGCTCTAGCTTGAGTCCCCCACAGGGTCACAGATCCAGCCAGGAAACCTGCTCCAACACAGCCTTCCCACAGGGGTACATCTTTTGCGAATCCCACTGCTCTGATGTGGGTTCCTCCAAGGACTGCAGATGGATCTCCACTCCCCCATGGACCCCCATGGGCTGCAGGAGCACAGCTGCCTCACCATGGGCTGCACTACGGGCTGCAGAGGAATCTCAGATCCTGTGACTGGGAAGGAGGAGCAGCTGCTGCCCCTACTTCTTCAGACCTGGGTGTCTGCAGGGCTGTTACCTTCCCATATTTTCACTTCTCTCTTTCCTGGCTGCAATTGCCGTTGCACAGTAACTTCTTTCCCCTTCTTAAATACATTATCCCAGAGGCACTTCCAGCATCTCTGATGGGCTCAGCCTTGGCCAGCGTTGGTTCCTCTTGGAGCCGCCTGGCATTGGCTGTATCAGACGTGGGGGAAGCTTCTGGCATCTTCACACAGAAACCACCCCTGTAGACCCCTGCTACCAAAATGTGACCATGCAAACCCGATACAGCTTGTTTCATTTTGAGGGGAAGAGATTAGGAAAGTTTGAGTAGGCTTTTTTAGCCTTTGTAACACCCACAAGAGCTGTCTCAAGTCCCCCTCTGTGGCCCCGGCTGCAGACAGATGTGATCAGTGTCCCTGTCTGCCCTTAGAAGATGTTGTATTTCTAAATCTAAGGAGACTTATTGTGAGGAGGAATAATTATAATATTGTCATCCACCGTGTAAGTAGAAATATTGTTTTAAGCGCATTTATTCCCTGCAAGTAAAAACTTTTCTTAAATCAGGAATTTAGAATATGGAAAGACCCAGAAGTATTTTCTCAAGTACTGTTTTCTATCAGATGGTTTTGCCTGTTTACTCAGTTAGGGTGAAAACAATTTGTAGAGACAAGGTTTTGAGCTTTTAGGTGCAAGACTGATAGTTTGCTTTCACCGTCCAGCCAGGACCAAGTTTAGGGGGAAGCTGACAAGGAGACATTTCTTCAACATCAAATTGTTGCTACAAGCAACAGGACAGCTGCAGAGAAAGGAATACAAAACCCTTTAGGTCACTAATTAGGAAGCAGGCAAAGGGAAAATGAACCCCAAAAGGTATTGAGTGCTAGAACAAGCACAGCAACAAAAGCCATGAGAGACACAGGAAAGCCACAGGAAACCAAGCCTAGAGGGTAACATGTCTTTTTTTCTCAAATCAAAGGCATCATGCTGCAAATGACAAAAGAACAATGTTCCATGTGAACATTTTCATACTGAACCACCCAAATCTCCCTAGGGAATTTCTGATCCAATGAGTGTCAGAGGTTCCAGTGGAAACATCTGGCATGCAGCAATCCTGATTCATTGTGTTTTTGCAAAGGTCCAGTCAGAGAAACTCATCACATCTAAGCATTGCAGAGGATTTCATGGAGGGCTCCTATTCTTTTTACATGTTATTGTTCCCATACAAAACAGAGAACACCCCACAGCTGTCTGCTCAGGGGCCCTGCCCCTGGCACAGGAGCATTACCCATTATTTGTCCTGTGAGGGGCACAACGAGGTTTTTGCATATGTCATGCCCAGAGATGGTCAGCCCACGGGTCAGCCATGGTTCCTCATGCGGGAAATGTGCAGTAACTACAGACTCTGCTCTCCACCTTAACAAACTGGATTGGCTCTTCAGATGTCAAAGCTGTAGATTCAGCTCACTGAAAACACTTCTAGTAGTTTTGTTTGTCATATACCCTCACAGAACTATTGAAAGCTTTTCTAGCTATAGAAAAGTAATCATGTCCTGGTATTTATTGATGACCTCCTTCCTCCCATGCAGTTCTAACAGGCCATAGTTTCCATTCATGTTGGCTTTAGCAGCAGCATCTGCATTAGGAAACCAAACAGGGCTTAAATCTAACACACACTGTTATCCTCCTTGATTTGGTGCTGCCCTGTTCCTTAGGATGATTCTGCCAACAAGCACTACCCCAAACAGGTAATACAGTCTGAGATATAACAGGGCTAGTCCCAAATATAAATTTACAGAAGGCCCCCACAGTATTCTGGACACAAGGTCAGCCAGCCACAGGGCCAGCCAGCAGCAGGTTCTTTTCACTGTATCCGGTACAGAGCAGCAGATGTGTTCATGGCAGGTGAGCACAGTCCTGGTGCCACCTTTATCAGGCTGCTTTGTTTTTTTGGTCCAAGAGAGGACAGCCCTGTCCATGATATCTACTGAAAACAAAATGCCATACTGCCTACAGGCAGCTGGGGAACCCTACTCTAGTCCCCTCACCAGCCCCACAAATAATGCAGATGTAGCTTAAGTTATAAGAGCCTCTTCTAGGTAGCTCCATCATCCAGAGCAGCTCCTAACACTGCAATCCTTACTGGTATTTATCAGTGTCCAGATCCAGTTTACACTGTTTTGGTACATGTTCACTGGTAAATGAAAACTTGTGCTGGACCATATCTGGCACTGAGGTAAACTGTGGTGGAACAGCACATAGCCGTGCTATTAAACACTCTTACCATCCAAAACAGAGTGAAGGTACTCAGTCTCTGTCCTACAACCAGCCTCAAAACACCTCTGGAAGCATTCAAAGCCGGGTCAGACAGGGCTTTGAGTGACTTAGTCTTATTGTAAGATGTGTCATGAGCAGGGACGTTGGAACAAGATGATCTTTAAGGTCCTTCCAACCCAAACCATTCTTCTATTTTATGATCTTTGGGACTGACTAGGAGCGTGTTGGCTAGACTAAGGCAACAAACTATGCCATGGATCATGCTACAGTTTCTCAGTACAGAAGATCTATTTCCAGTATCTGTGCCCAGGCCCTGGTACTGCTGGTTTACCAGTACATATGTAACCAGCGTCTTTGGGCACAGACCAGGCCTCCATATTCACAAATATCAGTAGTGAAGTCCTCAATTCTCCAATTGCCAGGCTGCTCCAGCTCAACCTGCAATGGCCAAAATGAACAATAAAGCAGAAGAGACTGTCTGTGCTTCAATTACACATGGGGAAGAAAGCCTCTAGCATAGAAAACAGAGCACCAGGACTGTAAAAGCCTCTTTTACGTGGACTTTTTGCAAACCTCCTAATATATCCAGGGAAATATACCTGGGGGAAAAAGTCACCTGTTGTGACTGCAGCACATAAACCATCCTATAATTTAGCTGAAAGCAATATCTGGAGCCTACCCTGTCCAACCTCCTGCCCAAAGCACAGACAGCTTTCATTTTACATCAGGTTGCTCAAGAAGCTGCCTAGGCAAGTTTTCCACAGAGAAATATTCCCCAAGCTCATTGGACACTTGTTCCAGGGCTAAACCCCTCTCCAGGTGAAGAATGAAGGATTTTGTCCTTGTATCTACTCAGCTTTCTGCTGCTACAACTCGTGTTCATTGCTTTTGATGTTAGTTTGCTGAGTTTTTCTGTGCTTTTCCAAGAAGAGTCTTCTGCAGAGCCGCCCACTCAGTAGTAGAAAACAGACATAAGGTTCAATCCTGAGCTTTCTCTTCTGGAGACTGAAAAATGCCAGGTCCCTCAGCATTCCCACATATACTGTGGGCTCCAGCCCCCTCACCAGCATGGTGACCTTTCACTAGACTTGCTCTTTACCTTGGAGAGGTATCACTTTACCTGGAGAACCCTGAACTGGATGCTTTGGTATTCCAGTTATATGGAAACAACTGTCCCGCCCAGTTTGGTGCAACCTACAAACTCTGCCCCAAGTTATCCAGGTCGTTACTGAAGATTTTAAGCAATATTGGTCTCTGAATGCTTTTAGATGGCTGCCAGCTTGGTGGAGTTTCTTGTAGCACTCCTTTTCCTTGGCTCTTGCAGCAAACAGCCACAATTTAGGCAAGTCTTACTCTTTTCACTGACCTCCAGAGCCTAATGAGCACCAAAATCTGGTGGACACAGGAGTGGCAGAAAGTCATCTGAGGTACCCATGTTAGAAGATGCAGCTAAACTTCACTGACAACAGCAGGTATTTACCATTTACCCATATGGTGAA